TCAAGGTACAAAGTGATATCCTCTTAAGTATGGATCGGCAAGAAGTTACACTCCTTGTCTTGCTAGATTTAAGTGCTGCTTTCGACACCATCGACCATGACATCATGATTAATTTGTTGGAGAATGACTTTGGTATAACGGATCAGGCTCTTTTGGTTAAAGTCTTTCCTGTCTGGCAGAAAGCAGCGCGTTGTTATTGGGCAACAACAGTCTGAAGATTTTGACCTTATCAGTGGAGTTCCTCAAGGAAGTTGCCTTGGACCAATACTGTTTATTATGTACACTTCTCAGCTGTTTCATCTTGTCAAGAAGCACCTACCAACGGCTCATGGTTACGCGGATGATACAAAACTATATCTATCGTTTCGTCCAATTTCGACCGTATCGCAAGACCACGCCATTCAGGCAATGGAGGACTGCATTAGTGACATTCATAACTGGACGGCTCATCATAGGCTCATGATGAATGATGACAAAACTGAATTTCTGATTATCGGATCCCGGCAGCAATTGGCCAAGATTAACATCAGTAATGTTCATGTTGGTTCCTCAGAGATCCTGCCAGTTAATTCTGTGCGTGACCTGGGAGCTTGGCTTGTTGAAACCATGTCTATGGATGTTCACATTGGGAAAATCTGTAGCAAAGCCTTTCGTGGACTGTATAAAATCAGGCAAATCAGAAAGTTCCTGTCGGAGGAGTCTACAAAGACGCTTATTCATGCATTCGTAACAGTACATCTGGATTACTGTAACTCTTTGCTGTCCGGGGTCCCACAGCGGCAGATGGATCGTCTTCAAAAAGTTTTTAATGCTGCCGCACGGGTAGTTTACTATATCCCTCGCTATGCGCATATCACACCAGTATTGATGCGACTCCACTGGCTCCCTATAAGCTATCGGATCAAGTTCAAGATCGCTCTACTAGTTTTCAAAGCCCTGAAAGATATGGCTCCAACATATATACGTGAATTACTTGAACTGAAGCCACTATCTAGGTACGCTCTGCGCAGCGATACTCAGAATCTTCTAAAGGTTCCACGTACTAAATGTAAAACTTTCGGAGACCGAGCTTTCGCTGTAGCAGGGCCTAGAGTATGGAATCAACTTCCACTTGACATTAGAACAAGTGCTACTGTGGACACTTTTAAGAACAGACTTAAAACTTATTTTTATAAATTAGCTTTTTTATAATACGATTATTAACTTTTTATATATTTCATCAATTAGAGACAACTAGATTAGTAGAACCTTTTTGTAATATGTTTTACATATGATATTATGTATTACTTTTATATTTTACTGTATGTAAAGCGCTTTAGAATATTTATATAATTTAAGCGCTATATAAATAACTGTTATTATTATTATTATTATTATAAAGATCAATGAACACCCCAGCAACTATCTGGTTCTGATCAATGGCCGTGGCAACGTTATTTGTTAGAGAAACAAGTGAATGCATAGTAGAATGGTTACTGCGAAAACCAAACTGAAATCTATACAAAATTTCACATTGCTCAATGAATGATGTTTTTAACCTGATTTGCATAACTTTTTCAAATAACTTTGAAAAGTTTGTCAAGAGTGATATAGGTCTATAGTTTGTAAAGAAACTTTGATTTCCAGTTTTAAAAATTGGTATAATTTTAGCGATCTTTAGTTTGCTTGGGAAGACCCCTTTGGACAAAGAGAGATTTATAACATTAACAAGAGGTTCTACTATTAGGTCAATAGATTTTTTGATTACATACATGGATAGATTATCATAACGAGGAGCTTTAGCTGTCTTAAAAGAGTTACAGATTTCTAAAAGCTCAATTACATTTGTTGGATGAAGTGAAATAGATTCTTCGGTATTTGAATTTAGGAAAGAAAGAAAAGAGTTTGAAGTCTCAGGAATCTTACTTGCAAGATCAGGGCCAATGTTAGCAAAGTATTTCCAAAACCTGTTAGCAATGTCTTTAGGATCAGAGAAAGGGTATTATTTGATATAAACGAGGAAGGCAGTGAGGTTTTTGTTCTACGTTTATTAATTACTTCGTTTATTAGCTTCCAAGTTGTTGTGTGATCGTTTTTTGCAGTTTCAAATTTATTCTCATAATATGTTTTCTTAGCAATCTTAATCAAATAAGTAAGCTTGTTTTTGTATTTTTTGTATTGTCTTTCTTTGACAGGACTTCGTGAAATAATGAACTTTTTATAGAGTTTATTCTTTTTCCTAACACAGGTTAATAGCCCTCTTGTCATCCAAGGTGTTAATGATTTGTTCGAGTTTTCTGCTCTGACTGATTTAGAAGGAAAGCTAAGATCATGTAAGCTAGAAAATTCATACTGAAAAGCATCGAAAGCACTGTCTGCATCTTGATTAGGGAGATTTTCCCAATTGACATTAGTAAGATGTGAACGAAATTTGGTAATATTGCTATTGCTAAAGTCCCTAAATATGGTCTTTTCAGCACTTTTGCATGGGGGAGGAGTTTCTGTAAAGACATAAACAAAGACCGGTAAATGATCTGACAGGTCATTAATAATAATTCCACTGAATAAATTTTGTGTCAAATGGTTGGTAAAAATATTGTCAATAAGCGTTGCCGAATGTGCTGTGATGCGCGTCGGCATACTTATTAAAGGCAAGTACATATGGGAAAACAGATTTTCGACAAATTCATTAGTTGCGGATAGGATAGGATAGGCCGTGCTATGCATTTGCATCGGTAACCGCGTATTTGGCTGTGTATTAAATTGTGCTGGCTCAAGCATGTTTGTCCTACTTATGTCTAGGCGAGCCATACAGCCACAAGGCTCCTTATCTAGTCAATGATTATTATCAGTATTAACAAGGAATTGGTAAGTTTAATATTTTTTTGCCAAAGTAGAAGTCCCTTGTCTATTTAAAGATGCGGTAAAGTCCGTTCTGCGCATATATTCTGCGCATCAAAACATTCCATCAGTGGGGGAGCAACCTTTGGAATGTTGTTAATATTTCGCACCTTCCGAACTTTCTTGAATTGAATCTCTAGTCTGTATTCATTTACAAGCATAACGAACCAGAAAAGTGTTAAAAATTCAGTATAATATATATCTAATCATATTTTACAACTGTAGCAGTGAGTTCAAAATGTAAACAAAGCGTTTGTTTATATTACGGACTTTACATCACCTTTAAGTGAACGGCCAGAGTTGTTCAAAAGATTTTCTCTGATGTTGTTTAGTAAGGCCCCACTTATTTTCTATACATAGTTTAGCTAAGCTACTATTAACTACGTTTACCTTTTCTGACAAATCCACGTTTTCCGTTCTTGTGATGATTTCGGACCATGCATATAAGTGATGTATTCTTGTTCTGTTGTGTGATTGTCTGCCCGAGATTATTTATTGACTTCAGTAGGTTATCTGGTGCTTTGTTATGGAGGTTTTTAGTTCCAATATGAATAATAAGTTTGTTCGGTTTCGTGTTCAGGGTAGGAACGACATAATGTTTCATTTGATCAATTCCTGCACCTGCGAATGTTTTATTTCTGTTTACTCAGTCCATTTTGCATTATTTTGATATTCAAATCTTAAGCATAGAATTTCCTAGTATAGCAACTCTGGGTTTATTGAATTGGGAATCACGCCTATCACGTCTCTCCTGCTCGCTTTGTTGACTCTTTTGTTCAGTTCTTTTGGTTTGGGCATATTTGCTCCTTTGTTTTTTTCCTCGCCAGGTTGTTTGGCATTTTGACGCGCTTGATTCTTGTCATTATGTTGTCTTAAGCCCGCCGCACACGAGCGCACATGTCGCGCGTACTTGTTATTCGTGACAAGTTGGATCGACAAAATTTCCTCGTGTGCGGGCAACTTTTACGTCATTTTCGTCATTCGTGACATGTAAACCAAATATCAAACATGTTTGATATTTTTCGTCATTCGTGACAAAAAATTCTGGTGTGCGGCGAGCAAACGACAAGTGCACCTGAATAGGAAAATTTGCGCATGCGTGCAACTTTTTGATCCGCCATGTTGTTTTTAATTCTGCAAGTTGCACGCATGCGCAAATTTTCCTATTCAGGCGCACTTGTCGTTTGCTCGCCGCACACGAGAATTTTTTTGTCACGAATGACGAAAAATATCAAACATGTTTGATATTTGGTTTACATGTCACGAATGACGAAAATGCCGTAAGTGTTGCCCGCATACGAGGAAATGTTGTCAATCCAACTTGTCACGAATAACAAGTACGCGCGATAAGTGCGCTCGTGTGCGGCGGGCTTTATATTATCTCTGTCCAGGAGTTTACTCACTTCGGGTGTAATAACGACTTCGTCTTCATTGTCTGTGTCGCTTAAAATGAAATATCGATTGTTTGATCTAAATGGTTCGCCATTGTTTGAAGTTTTCTCGGTGGGTGGTATGTTTCGTTTCGGGATCTTCTTTTGTTTCGTTTCAACACTCCATGGCCGTTCATTATGTTGATCCTCCTGTAGAATCTTAATTACAGTAATTAGGCTGTTTTTCTTGTTATTTAAATCCTTAATTATAGCGTTCATATCTGATACTATAGGTTTATGATTATTAATTCGTTCGATTAGTGAGGAATTTTAATTCTTTATTAAACAAGTATTTTCCTTTCCGAGGAAATCTCTGTACTCTCCGTCCGATCCCGTATTACTGTGCGAGTCATGGCCTTCCCCCGTACTTGATTTTAAATCCTGCATTTCTCTTACAAGATGCTCAAATTTGAGCTCGAATCGCTCTTCAAGATTTTGTATGTAATCACGTACTATTTCAAGGGTTCCCACATCGGTTCTACAGTTAGAGATAGCTTTATTTTTATCGAGGTCAGTGTTAGGCTGTACCTCGCTCCTACTAATATCTGACTCGATAAGGTTTACTATAGTTTTTAGTTGCGATTTCATTTCGTCGCTTGCTTCACCGCTTATCGTATAGTGATTAGGTGTTGGGATACCATCTCAGTACGAGGTCGCTTAATTCCAGTTTCTTGCAAACACCAGTTGAAATCCATGTTGTTTGCTTGCCTAGCAATTCGTAAGATTATCAAACGAATCGTCCCATCTAAAACTTCACTTATTTGATATAGTAAGGTACTTGGATATGTTATCCTTGTTTGCCAAACAATCTTCAGTAATGTTTGTTGCTTTATCATTAAAAATATCGTTGAGGTCGGAGCTCACGCTCCAACCTCCTTCCACCATTATGATATCGAAACAGATATACACTGTAAGTATGATATCGGAACAGATATCAGTATAAGTATGTAATTAAAAAATAAGATGCATTTTCCTTAGTAAAGATTATGACTGAACTAATATTGCCTGTAACTGTTTTGAGCAATTGTTAGTGGCTTACAATTTAACTCCTTAATGGTTGACATGATTTGCCATAAATGTTATGAAATATTAATTAATGAGTATTCTAAGAATATTAGTTAAAACAACCTATTGTTATTGGCTATAACAACCTATTAAACTACAATAACCTACTAGTAAATTTGCATGACCAAAGCAATTGGTTAAAATAACCTATTTATTTTAGTTGTACCCAAATGTTCACAATTAACCAAAAAATAATTGGTCACTTAACCTATTTATTTTGGTTATAACCTATTCAATTGGTTAAAACAAACTATTCATATAAATCATAACCTTTACAAATAGGTTATTTTAACCTATCAGTTTTTATAGTGTATATAAAAGTCAATATAAGAAGTGAATTAGATAAAAAGTCAGTTCGATATACAATTAGCAACAGCGCCGTAGCAACCGGGAGGGGGCTGTATGGGGCTGTAGCCCCCCCCCCCCCCCAATAATTGGCTAATAATCATTCTATTTTTCAAAATCATGCAGACTTTATCATTTAAACTTTATTAATTTTAAAGCGGCTGTTGTCCTCCGGCCTCGCTGTCGCCCCAATCAAAAAGAGCTTTTTACGGTTCTGAGCAATAATTAAAATTGGTAAAACTAGTGTCAATTACTTATAGAAATTTTTTATATCCACTTTGTTTTAAAAGTAGATATTGATTCACAATAGCCTGCTGAATCTGGATTTTCATTTCATAGTTTTGGCGCGGAATATGAAAATGATCTTTGACCATAGTTGGTAAATAATAGCTTTATTAGCATGACTATAAATTTACAGTATTGCTAAAGCATATAAAAGTTATGACAATATATAGAAAATATGGTAAACTAGGATTATACAATTCAAAATTAGTATATATGCGATGATACTTTAATAAGAAGTGAGAAGAAAGGATGTAGACAAGTATAATATTTACAAATAAGGTGGTTTACTTATTACAACCTCTGCTAATTAGCACTCCTGGTTTCAAGGTATTTAATTTAAGCCTTTGAGCACATGACAGTTTAGTTATGATTTCACTATCAGTTGACTTCATTATGTCCGCTGATAGAGTTTGAGAGTTTAGTTTAATCTCGTTAGATGAGGTATTCTCTAAAGAACTTCGGAGGTCTTCACGAGAATGCTCATAGGCTTTACAAAAGAGTAGGAAATGGGTTTCGCTTTCCACCTCTCCCGAATTACATATTTCACATATAGGCGTTCTTCTCGGGGTATATTTTGGTATCGCCCGATCTCAATTTGGAGGTTATGGTTGCCGAATCTAAAACGTGAAAGGCATTTTCTCTTGTGTGGATCTTTTATAAGCAATTAACCTCGTACCCAGATTCTTTTCTCTTGGGGAGCAAAGACCCTGGTAGACGCTGGTCACGTGATCTGCTAAAATCTAGCAGATTTTTAATTAGCAATCCAAGATCAAGTCAATAAACATTTGATATTTGGATTATTTTGATGGTTTAATTTATAATTTGCAATTTTGTATGATTGTCGTAAAGAAAACCAAGATAGTTAATTAAAAATCTGCTAGATTTTAGCAGATCACGTGACGAGCGTCTACCAGGGTCTTTGCTCCCCAAGAGGAAAGACCCTGGGTACGAGGTTGTTTTATAAGTACTTTTCGAGGTTGTGCTCTGTTTGAATGTTAAATATAAAGTTAATTTTGGTTGAATTTTCAAGTTTATGTTACCAGAATGTTAAATATTTTTCCTCAAGGGTTTTGGTAATAGCTTCAATATGTTCAGAAGTTACGGCTTCCAGATTAGGGATTTCTTCTCATTTAGATTTAAATTTTTGATAGTATCCATTGCATTTCCGTAAAAGCAAGTTTTCTGCCTGGAGTAGAGATCTTTCGAGATTAGAAATGCTTGCTTTACAATGGCTGTTTTGAGAAGTGAGTTTAAGTGAGTGATGTATTTGAAGACCCTTTTGAATACATCGATAATAAGAGGGAGTTTTCCAAGCTCAGCTCTGGAAGCTATGTTACTTGCTTTCCTACTGACAGCAAGGTATATTTTACAAAACTTAAGATGGACTTTTTCAATTGGTAACTTGTCCCAATTGTTGAAATCCTTTTTCACGTAGCCTATGCCCCATACTTCAGAGTTGTATAGTAGGATCTGGCTTATAATAGAATCAAATATTTAAATGGCATAATTGGGATTGAGGAGGCTGAAGTTGAGCTGTCTTCTTATACCATATAAAGCATGCAAGGCTTTCTCACTAAGTTGCTTTAG